AAAACTCAAGTGAATAAAAAATCTGAAGAACAAAATGGACTGGTGAACATAATAGAATCAGGGACATAGAAAGGGATTGGACTAACAATTCTCAGGGGGAAGGGAGTCTGAGGGGTGAAGGAAGAGATTGGACAAATATCTTACACCTATGGATAAAGTCAGGGGCGGGGATAAGGGCATGGGGTGGAGTTGGGAATCAGGTGGAGGGGAGCTATGGGGGAATAAGGGGGAAAGAGGAACACCTGTAATAATCTGAACAATAAGATTTATTATTAAAAAAATTAAAATCATAAAATAAAATTTAGGAGAAATGATCAAAACTTAGAAGTTAAAACTCAAAATTACAAAACTTTGTAATAATTCTTGCTGGAAATATTACAAAATTCTTCTAAAGGAGGCATGCTATCAAGTCAGTTATGGTGTAGAGAAAAAGATGGAAAGCTATCCAAGCATAATCCTGGTTTCCAAACCGGTGAAAAGAGCAGCAAATAAACAGAAAAAAAGGACAAAATCAATCTTACTTTCTAAAAAAAAACAAAGAAGAATGGTACAATATGGATGAACAGTACCATACAAGTAGTAAAAAAATTAATTTAATTAAATTAAATCCAAACCCAAGACATTGTGGTAAGTGAAATAATCCAGATACCAAAGGGCAAATATTATGTGACTACTTCTATGAGGTACTGGAATTCTTCTGATTCAGAGAGACAGAAAGGAGAGTGGGACTGGGGTGATGGGAAGTGAATATTTAATGGGGACAGAGTTTCCAATTGGAGATAACACTTCTGTGGATGGTGGTGGTGATGGTGGCACAGCAATGTGAATGTACTTAATGCCACTCAACAGACACTTTAAAATGGTAAAAATGATACATTTTATACTATGCATGTTTTACCACAATATTTAAATTTTACCACACTTTATTTATTTTTATTTTTTTAATATATTTTATTGATATTTTACAGAGAGGAAGGGAGAGGGTTAGAGAGCTAGAAACGTCAATGAGAGAGAAACATCGACCAGCTGCTTCCTGCACACCCCCCACCGGGGATGTGCTCGCAACCAAGGTTGCCCTTGACCGGAATCAAACCCGGGACCTTTCAGTCCGCAGACCAACACTCTACCACTGAGCCAAACCAGTTTCGGCTAAATTTTACCACACTTTAAAAACACTGAGACAAAATAATTGAAGAAAAAAGTAAGAAAAATCTATAACAGGAATAAAATTCTGATGGTGGGTGAAGAGGCCAAAACCTGACTTGTCAGCAGAAATTGCTGTTTCACTGTGAACCCTGATTCTGTGGGACACTGGGCAACTTGTGTCTGTTTTCTCACCTTGAAGGGGAAAAAATAACATGAGAAATAATTTGAGAGTAATTATATCTGCCTTCCTAAACTGAAGCTATAGCAGGAGAAACAGGATGCTGTGGGAGACAGCACTCCTAAAGTTGATGAGCTACTCGAGCATAATGAGGCAGTGTGGTTCTAACCCAAAGACAGCTCAAGAATGCAGAAGAGGAGACAGAACTGCAAGATGTACGGGGCTAGAATGGGTAGGTTTAAAGGACCAGAACAGAAGAGTGTTTTGGTTTTTGAATAGGCCTTTTTCTGCATGGGGAGCTCTCTTCTGTTCAATTAACTAATGTCTGCTAAGCTTGAGATGTCTCTGGTCCTCCAGCTGCCAAGCAGTTCCCATGCCGGTTTGGCTCAGTGGATAGAGCATCAGCCTGTGAACTCAAGGATCCCAGGTTCGATTCCGATCAAGGGCATGTACCTTGGTTGCGGGCACATTCCCAGTGGGAGGTGTGCAGGAGGCAGCTGATGGATGTCTCTCTCTCATCGATGTTTCTAACTGTGTCTCTCCCTTCCTCTATGTAAAAGAAAATCAATTAAAAAAAAAAAAAAATATATATATATATATATATATTTTTTTTTTTTAAATGCTTTAGAAGGCTGTTCAACAGTACCCAAGGCAAACCTTGGGTGCCAGGTGCTGCTATTTGGCTCAGGATCAGAACCTGCGGGTCACTGGGAGAAGCAGAAGGCTAGGGTGTATAGACGGGCCAGCCCTGGTGCTGATGGCCTTCAAAACATTATAGAATTTGGCAATGAAAGGAAATAGAAAGACTTATAGTAAGTAGATGAATAAAAAACAATTGATTGGATATACCGTGATTTTCTCTTCTAAGCTCATTCAACAGTATAGACAAGGCACAGGTTAAGTACCATTCTATTGAAGGCAGGGGGAATAGCCTATACGACCTCTGGGTGACCTCTTCCAAGAACTCTATATCTTTTATTCTTTCGTGCGTGTCTGTGTTTATATACTTTTTTTTTTTTTTAATTTATATTTAATGGTCAAAGTATTACATGTCCCCAAAACTCTATACCCGTGGTCAGCAAACTGTGGCTTGCGAGCCACATGCAGCTCTTTGGCCCCTTGAGTGTGGCTTTTCCACAAAATACCACAGCCTGGGCAAGTCTATTTTGAAGAAGTGACATTAGAAAAGTTTAAGTTTAAAAAAATTGGCTCTCAAAAGTAATTTCAATCATTGTACTGTTGACTAATGAGTTTGCCGACCACTGCTCTATACCATACACACACTGAGTGGCCAGGTTATTATGACCATCCCATCAGTATTTCATTGGGCCACCTTTTGCCTTCAGTACTGCGGCGATTCTTGGCATTGACTCCACAAGATATTGAAGGTGATGCAAGGAATCTGATACCATGCCTGATGAATAGCACTGTCCAGTTCTGTGAGATTTGATGGTTGTGTAACCAGCTGCCGATGGCTCTTTTAATTTTGTTCCACAAATGCTTAATTGGATTGAGATCTGTTGATTGTGGGGGCCACCTAAGCAAGGTAAAGTCTCCCTCATGTTCTTGAAACCACTCCTGCACAATATGAGCACCGTGGCATGGCGCATTGTCTTGTTGGAAGAAGCCATCTCCATTGGGATATGCCATCAACAAGATAGATGAACTTGATCAGCAACAATACTTAGGTATGTTGTGCTATTCAGACATTGTTCCACACGAATTAAAGGGCCCAAATCATGTCAGGAAAACATGCCCCAAACCATAACACTGCCCCCATGAACTTGAAGGGTTGTATTTATCCATGTGGGGTGCATGTTTTCATGTGTTTCTGCAAAATTCTCACTCCACCATCTGCATGATGCAACTGGAAACGTGATTCATCGGATCACATGACTTTTTTTCAATGCTCGACTGCCCTATCCTTGTTTTTCTGTGTGAATTTGAGACATTTTATCTTGGAAACTGCAGACAGCAAAGGTGTTCAAACAGGCCTTCGGCTTCCATAGCCTGTATGATGCACTGTGCAGCTAATTTGCCTACAAATGTCAGGTGGTCATAATAATCTGGCCATTCAGTGTATATATATCATATATATATCTTATCTAATAAAAGAGTAATATGCAGATTGAGCATCACTCCAAGATACAAGATGGCCACCCCCATGTGGACACAAGATGGCCTGCATGGGAGGGCAGTTGTGGGCAGTTGGGGTGACCAGGCCAACAGAGGAGGGCAGTTGAGGGAGATCAGGCCAGCAAGGGAGGACAGTTGGGGGGCACCAGGCCTGCAGGGGAAGACAGTTAAGGAGGGGCCAGGCCTGCAGGGGAGGGCAGATGGGGGGGGCAGGCCTGCCAGGGAGGGCAGTTGGGGGGTACCCAGGCCTGCAGGGGAGGTCAGTTGGGCGGGACCAGACCAACAGGGGAGGGAAGTTGGGGGGGGATCAGACCTGCAGGGGAAGACAGTTGTGGGCGATCAGGCCAGCATGGAGGGCAGTTAGGGGAGACCAGACCAGCAGGGGAGGGCAATTGGGAGCACCAGGCCTGCAAGGGAGGACAGTTGGGGGGGGACCCAGGTCTGCAGGGGAGGGCAGTTGGGTGGGACCAGGCCAACAGGGGAGGGCAGTTAGGGCAATTGGGTCAGTCATGGAGCAGTGAGGTGTTGATCAGGCTGGAAGCAGAGTGGTTAGGGGGGTGATCAGGCTGGCATACAGAAGTGCTTAGGGGCAATCAGGCAGAAACAGGTGAGCAGTTGGGAGCCAGCAATCCTGGATTGTGGGAGGGATGTCCGACCACCCGTTTAGGCCCGATTCTGGTGGGGTCCCAGACTGGAGAGGGTGTAGGTTGGGCTGAGGGATACCACCCTGTGCAAGGATTTCGGGGACCTAGCCGCTAGTGTGTGTGTGTGTGTGTGTGTGTGTATATATATGTATGTATTTACATGTGTGTGTGTGTGTGTGTTTATTGATTTCAGGAAGGAAGGAAGGAGAGAGATAGAAACATCAATGATGAGAGAGCATCATTAATTGTCTGCCTCCTGCATTCCCCACACTGAGGATTGAGCCTAAAACCCAGGTATGTGCCCTGACGGGGAACTGAACCTATAAACCTGGTTCATAGGTCGACACTCAACCAGTGAGCCACATCGGCCAGGCACTCTATAGCTTTTAAATGGTCTCAAATCAGAAAGCCTCCTTAACCCTGGCCGGGTATCTCAGTTGGTTAAGTATCATCCTGATTCATCATAGTTGTGGGTTTAATCCCCAGTCAGGGCACATCAAAAAGCAACCAAGAATGCATAAATAAGTGGAACAACAAATCCATGTTTCTCTCTCTCTTTCCCCCTTTCATCTCTCCCCCTCTCTCTAAAGTCTATCAATCAATCAATCAATCAATCAATCAAAATTTTTAAAAATAAAGAAAAAAGAAAGCTTCCTTGAAGCTAGGCAGAAGGTATAGAAGGGCTGGAGAGCAAAAGAGAAAAGGAAGAGAGTGGGAAAGGACAGAGGTAAGAGGGGCTTTCTCTCCTCTATTTATTGCACCCCAGTCAGCTGGAAATGTAAAGCCCCTTCCACAGAACTGTCACACAAGGTGGGCTGGTCTTACTGGTCTTACACATAAATAAGCTGGTCTCAGCTGCCCTTGCTTCCCACATCCCTCCTCCAGAAGCATCTGACCTTGGGATCCATGGCACAGGCAGCTGGAGGCTTGATTGGATTCTGATTCACAGGTGTCCAAGGCAGCAGACTGGAGGGGGACACACAGACACACAAGGTGGGTGCTGGGTCCCTGTAGTGATAGCCCTCTGGGATCCTCCTGAAAGAATCAAGAATGCTGTCCTGAGCTCTGGCTTTGAGGCACTCCAGCCCCAAAGTGGGCTCCCCTCGCCATCCCACCAGCTTGCCTTGGATGGCCACTTTCCTCAGTAGAGACTCGCCAAGGTGCTGGGGGCATCCCAGGCTCCACCCTCCAGCCTCAGGGGTTCACTCTTCCATCCAGCTCACTGAACAGGCAAGGAGAGCAGTCTGATTATGAATACTGTTTAAGTAAATACTTACATTAGTGAGTTTAGCTAATGAAGCATACCTAGAAGTTTTTAGGAAATCCATTTTATTATTACACTAATAGGGCCACTACATCTTTTCCTTTTAACAAAAGTGAAAGGAGTTTTAAGGATAAAAATAGGAATGTTTAGGGAGTTTAGGAATAAAGAAGGACCATGGGGGAGGAATGCATAGGTGAGGGCTTGGAGCTGCCAGAGGCACACATTCACAGAGGGGAGAAAAAAAAGTGCCACAGCATAAGGGGAGAAGAAGACATCCATTTACAGAAGATAAGGGAAAGCCACAGAATATAAGAGAAAGAGGAAGACATTCCTTCACAGGAGCCAGAGAAATGTTACAAGATGGGGGGGGGGGGGGGAGGGAGAGGGAGAAGGGGCACTATGTGGGGGTTGGGCTTTGACACTACAAAAAGAGTGACCAATTGGAAGGCAACATCAAGAGACATAGAACTACACCTTTACAAACCTTAGCAAAAAAGAACTTAGTGGGTTACCCCCTTGAAATCCCCTCCCTTCGTAGGAGCCTGTATTTACTTCTAATTTCTACCCTTTTCATCTACCAACTTTTGTCCATGGCTTAATTCTTCGAATCCATCTAAAAAGGATCTGGGAAAGAAATCACCCTTGCATTCTGCTCAGGGAAACAACCCAAATCAAAAGCACCAACCCATCCCCTCAGCATACTAGTACAACAGTTCTCAGAGCTCCACACTATCACCATTTTGTTCCACACAGCATGCTGAGAAGCAGGCCTTGTACAGTGCTGATGCTGACTTAGTAGATGAGAAGATAAGGTTTGGGGAGTAAGAGATAGCAAGGAAGGCCAGATAAGATGATTTGTTCATATAGAAAGAGTTACTATAAAATGTTTATAACAAAAGAGAAAGAATGCATAGTTGATAATTACACAAAAGATTAAAGTTCCATCTTGCATATATCCCAACTAAATAAACCATCATAAACAACTGACCAGACAAAAGTCAACTGAGGATTGAATTAAAAAGATTACATCCATAAAATGGAATATATATAACTATGAAAAGAAACAAGAGATCTGTGAGTGCATCCGTACAGAGATGTCCAAACTGAACAAAGTGAGTAGACTCTGGAGCTCCCCTCAGCACGGAGACTTGCCACGGTGCTGAGAACATCCTGGGCTCCACCCTCCAGCCTCAGGGTCCACTCATTTTAATCCTATTTTAAAATGCATTTGCGTGTGTGTGTGTGTGTGTGTGTGTGTGTGTGTGTGTGTGTTCAAACAAAATATTAGGGAGAGCAGCAGGTTATCCACAAAAATATGCTCTGACCCCTCTTGCCAGTTGGCTGGTTATATACACACCAAGAAGAAGATAGTTGCATGCAGCTTCGAGCTACAGGTGTAAAGATTATTGTGTAGGGCAAAACCTGTCAAATCTGGCAAATTCTTGCGGCTCCTAAATAGACAGGCTATAAAAAAAAACAACAACAAAGAACAGACAACCACTGTCTTCAGTAAAAAAAAAAAAAAAGAGCAAGACTCTATCGCCCACCACACACCTCAAGGTCACTCAACATCATACCCCATCCAACCCTGGCCCACCACTTAATCACCTATCTGACGTTGAATGTGGCACTCATTTTGAGCTTGTTTAATGCAGGCACAGTGTTTGGGGCTAGAAGAACAATGATACAAATGACCTACAGGTCCCCGCTCCATTGAAGCATATTTACCAACAACACAAAGAACTATAAATACAAACACTCTTTTTAAAAGTGTGTACTGTTATAAGAACCCAATCATTGATGTAGCCATCAATATTCATAGTGCCTATGAGAGTGGGAAAGGACATGTAATGAGAATAGAGCCACAGTTGTCTAATAATTATTCACCTCACTAACTATAGATAAGATGTTTTCTTACAGACCTTGGGAAACCAGGATGAAATAAGACTGTAAAAAGATAAGATGCCTCAATGGGCCCGTTACTCAGGAAATAAATATATTTTTTTAAAATACTAGTATATCTTTACTGATTTCAGAGAGGAAAGGATAGGGAAAGAGAGATAGGAACATCAATGATCAGTGAGACTCATTGTTTGGCTGCCTCTTGCACATCCCCTACTGGTATCAAGCCCGCAACCCAGACCCTTGACCGGAATCGAACCTGGGACCTCTCAGTCTGCAGGCTGATGCTCTATCCTCTGATCAAACCAACTAAGGCAAGAATACCTTAGTTGAGACAGACCAAGGACAGGGCACGCTTTGATTTGGTTGCTACACCTGGACCCTGACCCTCTCTGGGAGTTTTTCTCAGAAATGCTGACCATGCTCCAGTCCCAGGAATGGGCTAAGCTGTTTGTAACATCAAAGATTAGCCACCTGGTTATCAGACTTTGAACTCCTGAAGGCCGGACTGCAGACTCTATCATCCCCTTTCCATGGTACATTTTTAGGTCCCAGCTGCACGTAACTATCTTCTCCCTGGTGTAAATATAACCAGCCAACTGGCAAGAGGGGTCAGAGCAGATTTTTGTGGTTGACCTGCTGCTCTCCCATTCTGCTGACATTATTGGAATAAATGCTCACATATGATTCAACCCTGTCTCTGCTTAATTGGCTCAAGTAGTGGCAGATAGCCCAGAGCCCTTGGTTGTTTGGTTATACCTACTGCATACCAGGAAAAACTATATGTAATATATAGATATTCATATATACTTTTAGAGATTATCTTTATAAAGATACTAGAGGCCTAGTGCACAAATTTGTATATGAGTGGGGTCCCTTGGCCTGTCCAGCAATTGAGGCCTATCAGGGGACCAACTGGCCTGGGTGAGGGACTCCGGAAGGTTGGACAGCCAATCCCCAATCAGGGCCTATCCCGGGGCCACTTGGCAGGAGGTAGGGATCACAGGAGGTTGGCGTGTTGGGGGTAGGGACCAAGGGAAGTTGGCTGGGGGGGCAGCAGGAGGCTGACTGTGGAAGTGCATTGACTACCAGAGGATGGTCAGTGCGTGTCACAGTGACTGGTTGACCTGTCGTTCCAGTTGTTTGGTCATAATGGTTGCTTAAGCATTTATATACAGTAGGTCCTCGGGTTACATCAGAGATCCATTCCTATGGCACAACGTAATGCAATTTTTGCTGTAAGTTGGAACCCACCTACATAAGCACCTATGTCACTCACATGGAGCACATGCCTCGCGGTAATGAAATGAAACAGTAAAAAAAAAAAATGTAGGAGAAACCAAGATGGCAGCATAGGGTATACACCCGAATGCAGCCTACCACAACAAATTTGAATTTAGAACTGGAAAACAGGGGAGGCATTGCCCTGAAGCGCAGGATGGTTAGCTGAGAGGAGGCTCTGCCATCTGGGAAGCAGAGAGAAGGCACGCTGAACCTCAGGAACTGTGAAGGTACAGAGAACTGTGTGTGCGTGAAAAGGCACAGGCTTACTCCTGGTGCGGGCAGAGGAAGGGCTTACTCCCGGTGCGTGGAGAGGGAGCCGGGGTGAGTTCGCTACTGGCTTACTCCCTGGCTTTCTTGTTTGAGAGGAAAACAGAATCAGCCTATTGCTCTGATAGATGGCCACAGACAGGGAAAGGCCAGACTGTCAGGCAGTGGGCAGAGATCTCTCAAAGGTGTGTGAAGTCAGAGTCTATTACTGCGGGACTTGGGGAGGAGCCAAAGGGAAAATAAAGCTTGTCTGCACCAACCCGAGACTCCGCCCCATCTGTGGCTGAGCACAGAGCTCTCCCAGAGGCTGGCTTTCTCTAAGGAGGGACTGGCCGGAATCCAAAGCTTGTCTGCGCCTTTACCAAAGAGGTGCGCGCGCCTGCAACCAATCTTCCGAAACTCTCCGCGAACAGGACTTTTCTAAGGCGAGACTGACAGGGAACCAAAGATTGTCTGCGCCACCCCAAGACACGGCCCTATCCAAGCAGGGTACAGAAGCCCTCCTAGCTGAGACACTGCTGATCCTCACAGCCAATTGGCTTGGAGATCAACGCTTCCCAGTGATACCAACAATAAACAAGGCTTAACAACAAGACACTACTCACAGCCCACAAAGGGCTACACCAAGACTGTCCACCGCATGTAACTGGGAAGGCTGTACTACTGGGCTCTGCCAGATCACAAAGCTATTCCATCAAATCAGGGAAACAACTAAAATGCAGACAAGAGGAAGGGCACAAAGGAAGGAGATGGAGGAAAAGATTGGACATTGAGTTCAAAACTACAGTTATAAGATTATTCAACAATATCCTAAAAAAGGCTGATAAAATAACAGACCTCTGAGGATATGAAAAGGGAGCAACTAGAAATAATAAGGGATCAACTAGAAATGAAGAAAACATTGTCTGAAATAAAAAATATTATACCAAGTCCTAAAAACAGACTGTAAGATCGCAAGAATAAAGACAGATTTAGAACACAAAGAGCCAGAGGACACTCCTCTGCAGAAGCAAGACAAGAGAATCCAGAAAGTTGTAGATAGTGTAAGAAACCTTTGGGACAAATTCAAGCGAACCAACATCAGAATTATGGGGATTCCAGAAGAAGAGAGAGAGCAAGATACCGAAAGAATACTGGAAGAAATAGTGACAGAAAACTTCCCCCACCTGGGGAAATAAATAGACTTACAAG